CGTGCTCGCAGGTCGGCGTCGTGGAGCCGACCGTCTCGCTGGCGCCGGAGGCCGGGGAGGACTTCGAGGCGGTGGCGGCAGCTGTGCAGGAGAACCTGGCGGTGGTCCTGCTCGACACCGGTTGCTCCCACCACCTGATGGAGACGAAGGAAGTCTTCGTGGACCTGCAGCCGAGCGGCTCCATCAAGCACGTGCGCGGCTTCAATGGGGCGCTGCAGGACGTCCAGGGCCGTGGCACCGTCGCCCTGCAAGGAGAGGTCGGGAAGCAGGTGCTCATCCCCGACGTGCTGTTCGTCCCGGGTGTGCGGGCCAACCTGCTGTCGTCTGGCCAGCTAAAGGAGCACGGCGTGAAACTGCAGGAGGACGGCGACGGGATGTTGCTCGTCTCGGCAGCGGGCGAGGTGCTCGGTCGGGCGACGTACTCCGGGCGTGTCCTCTGCACCGACCTGCGTCCCTGCTCGACGAGGTCGACGTCGCCCACGCCGGAGGTTGTGGCCCTACGGGCGATCGTCTCTAAGACGAAGTCGACGCCGGACAGGGTGCATGCGAGACTTGCGCACGTCGGCATGGACACCATACGAAGTTCGGCGAAGCACGAGGTCGCCATTGGGCTGGAATTCAAGTCGACAGCGGGGGCCGACTCACCGTGTGTCTCGTGCGTCGGTGGGAAACTGGCGCGGCACACCTTCCCCGACCAAGGCTCCGCCGCCGACGACGTGCTGGCCGTAGTGCACATCGACCTGTGCAGGTCGTTCCGCGTGACTGCCAAGGACGGCAGCTTGTACTTCCTGCTGCTGAAGGACCGCCAGACCCGCTACGTGTGGGTGAGGCTGGTCGCCAAGAAGCTGGATGTGCTGCTGGTGTTCTAGAAGTGGCTGGTGTTGGTGGAAAGGCAGACGAAGAAGTCGGTGCTGATGTTGCGCTCGGACCGAGGAGGGGAGTTCCTCGGGAAGAAGTTCACCGACTTCGTGGACGGCAAGGGGATCGTCCACGACCTGACCTGCCCGTACACCCCGCAGCAGAACGGCATGGTGGAGCGGGAGATGAGGACGGTGGTAGAGTCGGTGCGGACGATGCTGCTGCACATGGGCGTGCAGCACCACTGGTGGCACCTCGCTCTACGGCAGGCCGTCTGGGTCCGCAACTGCCTTGAGAGGTCGACGCTGCCGCCGGGGACGACGCCGTACCAGCTGCTGGCCGGCCAGAAGCCCGACTTGTCGATGGCGAGGGTGTGGGGCTGCATGGCGCAGTTCCTTGTCCCCGAGCAGCAGCGTGGTGGGAAGCTGAAGCCAAAGGCCAGGTGGGGCCTTCATCTCGGTGTGTCGACGACGAGCAAGGGCTGGGAGCTCCTCGACATCGACGCCAACTGGGTGGTCATCACGTCGGACGTGGTGTTCTACGAGGATATGTCATTGGAGGTGTGGAGGCCGGAGCACGGGCCGGTGTCAGGTCGGACGCCAACCCCTCCACCGACCGATACCTCGGCGGCGACGTTGCCTCTGCTCGTCGAGGTCGATGAGCTTGCTGATGAGGACGCCGAGGTCGTCCATCCTCCTTCCCCTTCCCCTACGACCCTTGCCCCTCCCCTCGTGGCCGACCTGCACGGGCTGACTCCTATGTCGGCCTCCGGCGATGAGGGGAGTAGTGGGACGTCGCCTTCGGCGCCGGCCAAGGGCATCGCCGGTGGCCGACGTGACGAGCGGCAAGTCGACGTGAGATTGAAGCCGACGTCGATAGGGGAGGTGCAGATCGAGGAGCAGCAGCCGACAGGGGAGCAGGCAGCAGTGACGCCGACCATGGAGCAGTTGGCAACCAAGCACTAGGCAGGGAAGCCGACCACAGGGGAGAGGTCGACCAGGAAGTCGACCGAGGTGCAGCAGGATGACGAGGGCAGTGAAGACGGTGACGAAGGAGGGGACGCCGGGGAGTCCACCAAGTGTGACGTGGTGGAGGTTCCGCCTGAACCCCGGAAGTCGGATAGGCTTCGGAGGCCGCCGGACTTCTTCGTCCCCGCTGCCTTCACCACGGTGTACGACGTGGACGATGACGACGACCTGCTATACAATGACGCCGAGGAGGATGAGGAGTTTCCGGAGCTCGACCCTGACATGCTGGCTGACCCCGAACACCGTTGGGACATCTCGACGATGACGGTGAAGGAGGCGTTGGCGAGCTGGAAGGGCCCGGCGGTGAAGGCCGCCATGGAAGAGGAGATTTACAGCCTCATCAACATGGGCACCTGGGAGCTGGTCGAACGCCCGCCGGGGGTCAACATCATAAAGAACCGGTGGGTGTTGACGACGAAGTACCACGTCGACGACACCGTCGAGCGCGAGAAGGCGAGGCTGGTCGTGAAGGGCTTCACGCAGGTGTACGGCGCCGACTACGACGAGACGTTCACGCCGGTGGGCAGCTACGTCACGCTGAGGATCTTCCTCAGCATCGTTGCCGTCCTCAACCTCAACCTGATGCAGCTCGACATGAAGAACGCCTTCCTACAGAGCAAGCTCGACCGGGTGCTCTACATGTCCCAGCCGGACTACTTCAACGACAGAACCGGCCGGGTGTGCAAGCTGCTGAAGAGCGTGTACGGCCTAAAGCAGTCGCCGCTGTTGTGGTACTTGGCGCTCAACGACGTGCTGGTCGGCGCCGGGTGGAAGAAGAGCCAGGTCGACGAGGCTCTGTACTTCAAGGTCGGCGACGACGGAGTGGCCTGCTGGATGTTGGTCTACGTCGACGACCTGCTCGCCGCCAGCAGCAGCACCAAGATGTTGAAGGAGCTGAAGGGGTTGCTGGAGTCCGCCTTCGAGTTGCGTGAGATCTCGCCGGTGCAGAAGTACCTTGGGATGGAGATCGTCCGTGACAGGTCGGCGGGGAAGCTGTGGCTGCACCAGCAGGGCTACACCGACAAGCTGCGTAGGCGCTTCATGGACGAGGAGCAGACCGGGCGCACCCCGAAGACGCCGGTCTCGGTCGACGCCTACGCCGAGCTCACCTTCGACGACGAGGAGGCGCAAGAGCGACAGGAGGAGGAGTACCGGCAGAAGGTCGGCTCGCTGCAGTTCGCGGCGACGACGACGAGGCCGGACATCGCCTTCGCCTGCAGCAAGCTGGGGAGCGGCCTCACGGTGAGGAGTGACCAGCACTGGTGCGAGGTCGACCGCTGCCTCTCCTACCTCGTCAACACGCGTGACACCGCCCTGGAGTTCGGTGGTGGACCTGAGTCGCTGGAGCTGGTCGGCTACATGGACGCCGACGACGCCGGTGACAAGCAGAACAGGACGAGCACGGGCGGCTACGTGTTCGTCTACGGAGGGGCCGCAGTCTCCTGGTCGAGCCAGCGCATCAAGTGCGCGACTTTGTCGTCGACCGAGTCGTGGCACCACTAAACACACCAGGGTGGTGCTCTTGGACAACGACAGCCTGGAAGAGGAGCATCGACCCCGCCACACTGGTCTGACAAGGGGAAGAGCAAGAATGTGGAAGTCCCTGCTAAGGCTGACCGCCGCCGCTGCACGAGCAAGGCGAAGCGGAGGAACGATGGAGACCCGGGTTCTAGAAAGGGTGCGAAGAAGAAGAAGAAGAGGAGCAAAGATGCCATCGTCGTCAATGAGGTGCTCGACAGCGACGATAAGAATGCCGAGGCTGCAGGTCCGCTTCCCTCTTTCCCTGAGAAGGCAAAGCCTAAAGACCCCACATTGCGTAACGCTAACTCTCGTCTTCCATCCCCACGCATTCGGGGTGAAAAATGGACCAGGAGATCGTGGCGCGTGCGTGAGAAGCTAATGTGGGTGCAATGCTACAAGGATCTTGGTCCCTGAAGAAGACCTCACTTAAATCCTCTGCCTCCATCGCGTGCATTCGACGCTGGAACGCGCAGGCAGCATTGGGCATGTACAAAGGTATGCACAGGGCGGGCCGCCACTCACACCACCTCGACATGGAGGCGGCTTTGTACCGGTACATCTGCATGGAGCGCTCGAAGGGGGTGGCGATCTCGATGAAAGACACTCATAAGTGGAGCCGCAAGTGGATTAAGAAACACCACCCCGACAAGAACTGGAATGCGTTGTCACACTGGAGTCAACGTTTCCGCGACCGCTGGAACTTGGGCATGCGCGTGAAGTCCAAGGTTGGCCAGAGGTTGTCGGCTGGAGAGTGGTTTTTGCCTGGAATTCACGTTGGATTGTGGTCTAAAATCCGCTACCATTGAATAGAGCTCACATGTTCATACATCCCCTCCTCCTTTGCGTTTCCTTTCCATGACAGAGTGTGCTAAGGACTGCAAGGCGTTTTGGAAGTTCGTCATGATCAAGAAGGCGAGGCACAACATCGACCTGGCCCGCATCATCAACGCAGACCAGACGCCTCTCTTCGTCGAGATGCCGGCCGAGAGGACGCTAGACCACCGTGGCGCGCGCTCAGTCCCAATCAGCACGGCTGGATACGAGAAGACACGGCTCATAGTGATGCTCGTGCGCACGACATCCAGGAAGAAGCTGCGCCCGTGGGGTTGGTTCAAAATGGAGAACGTGCCGAGATGTGAAATTCCAAAAGGTAAGTAGCACTGCGTTAAGTTTGTTGAAGGAGATCTTCAGTGTTGTACGCCGCTTGTTGGATCTAACGCTTGCATCTCCCTCCATGCCTGGCAAGAGTCGTGGTCCAAGCACAGGATAACTGGTGGATGGACAAAACTGCTGTGCAGAGATAGCTGACCAAGGAGGGGCTGCCCCATCTCAACCCCCAGCTAGGCCAAAACGCAAGGCGTGCAATGCTGGTGTTGGATTCTTACCGAGGCCACGTTGCCCCGGGCATCCATCAAGACTATCGCACGCACAGCATCACACCTGACGTAATCCCTGCGGGCTGCACCAACCGAATTCAGCCCCTAGACGTCTCTATCAACCGGTGCTTCAAGGCCGCGATGCGAGCACGCTATGCCAGGTGGTTCATGCATGAAGGCATCTACCTGAAAACGAAACACGGTGAGTACACGTTCGATGATCTTACACCTCATTGTTGTTACCCCTTGATGTATCTAACGACACCTTTCCCCTGCCTCTCACCCCCCGCACAGAACCTGAGGAGGCCACCACACCTCGTGGTGCTGCAGTGGATTGCGCAGGTCATCATCGACGAGTTCCGCCACAGCGGGATCTCAAGCAAGCTAGACGGGATCGAGAGCCACCTGGTGATGTCTCACCTACGCGCGAGGAGCACCACCAGTGTCTCAGAAGACATGTGCCTCAGGAGGACCACGGGCGACAATACGCGCCTGCTTGGGCAGGCTCCGGAAGGGGAGGAGGAGGAGGAGGAGGAGGAGGAGGAGGAGGAGGAGGAGGAGGAGGAGGAGGAGGAGGAGGAGGAGGAGGAGGAGGAGGAGTAGGAGGAAGAGGAGGAGGAGCTGCAGGCGGAGGGCGTCTGGTAGGTCGCCGTGGCAACTAGGCTGGAGGTGTTGTACCAAGGGACCCAAAACTACAGCAGAGCGGCCGAGGCTGACCGCATGATCGAGCCCAGGCAGACGACTAGGCATGCCTGGCGAATTCCTGACTTTTAAGTGCAGGTTCCTGCATCTACTAGTGCAGATGAGAAGGGTGTGAACGAGGGGGAAGACTAGGTAGAATGTATGCATGTACCCCCTTTAACTCAAAAAGAACCATTTGGTAGATACCCCCTGTCAGGCCCTACGATATCAGAAAAATTTCCCTGAAATTCCTGATTTTCAGCCTAATTTTGTGTACCTACACTGAATTTTCAGTGTTGAGATTTTTGTGACACTGATTTTTCAGCCTTTACTTCATAGCTCACACTGATGTTTCAGACTTTTATCGAAGTGTACACTGAATGCACATTCCGAATCCTTCCCGTAAAACACCGAAGAGAAGTCAAAACGCTGATGGCTGACGCGATGAACTGTCTTAGTGGTTAGCGAAATAGATACCGAATGGTAAGGTTTCCGGCTCAACCTCTGCTGTCAGATTCGTGAAGGCTACTCTGTCTTGCACAAATTCAGGCTTTTGTTTTCAGGAACCCTGAAAATTCAGGCTTTTGTTTTCAGGAACCCTGAAAATTCAGGCTTTCTTTTTCAGGAACCCTGAAAATTCAGGCCTTTTTTTCACAGGGACCCTGATGCATCAACGTCCCTAAAAGTGAATCTGAGGGCCTGCCCCCTGTTTATAAGATAACCCCAAAACCCTAGTCTGTACACAAGACACCTATAGGTAACACCCATCTATAAGAAACACTTGATATAAAGACACCCCCTGTTTTCAATTCGGCACAATCTTATATCCGAGCGATGAAGGTAGTAGTAGTGAATACCGGTCTGAATACAGCAAGTCTGGACTCATTCAACATGGCAATACTTTAGAATACATCACGACATTGAAGAAAACGTTACAACATACTACGGTACGCATATCAGTACAAACAGCAGGTCGTCGATGGCCACACATGACAAGGGGCTACAAGAAATCAAAGGAACAGGCGTGGCGTGGACCTGCAAGGCAGCACTGTTCCTCATGCTGCCACCAGGCAGCGCACCGCATCTCCTCCTCCAGCTGGCCAATCATATTCCACCCTCTCATTGCATCAGTACTTTGGGACGTCCTCTGCACTCGTGCAATAAACAGAGAGAAGCAGGCAATGCGGGAGGGACGAGGGGAAGCAGGGTAAGGTGGGCCACATTCTGACATTTGACCCAGCGCAACCAGTGGAGAGGAATACAAAAGAGAGTGTAAGGAGAAAACAAAGGCAGCACTGTCACTGGAGAGGATTGCAAAAGAGAGTCTTAAGAGAAGAGACAGGTAGTCTAAAGAAGGAGCAAGACTCTAATGAAGGAGAGGCAAGCAGCATACGCACCAGTGGCACAGCGAGCGGACTTCACTGATGAGGCAATCGCCTTAGACCTGTCCAAGTGGGAGGGTCATGCAAGGGGGGACAATGAGGCGGGGCAGTGGACAAGTTAGTGAGGGGAGGTGTGAGTGTGTGTGCGAGTGTGTGTGCTCACCCCTGTATGCCCCGCTCACATCTGCTTGACCAACTCACCCCATGCCCAACCCACCCCATGCCCAACCCACCCCTGGCCCAACCCACCCCTTGCCCAAATCACCCCTGGCCCAACTAACCCCTTGCCCAACCCACCCCTGGCCCAACTCACCCCTTGCCCAACTCACCCCTTGCTCAACCCACCCCTGGCCCAACTCACCCCTGTGTGCCCAACTCACCCCTTGCCCTTCACGAGAGTGTCCACGGCCGTTCCCTTGCAGTCCGGCGCAGCAAAGAACTGGATCTCCTTGCATGCCGCCTTCCCCGCCTGCTGCCATGCCACCTGCACCTTCTTCTTCCCGCGCCCCGCCCCGCCCCGAATGGCGACACAGCGGGAGGAGGTGAAGGCAAAGGAGCGCCCCTGCACCTTCATCCTCGTACCCACCACCGCCACTCGGGTACCACGGGTACTGCCTTTGCCACGGCTGCTGCCTTTGCCAGGGGTGCTGCCTTTGCCAGGGGTGCTGCCTTTGCCACGGCTGCTGCCTTTGCCACGGCTGCTGCCTTTGCCACGGCTGCTGCCTTTGCCGCCGGTGTTGCCTTTGCCGCGGGTGTTGCCTTTGCCAGGGTTGCTGTCGTTGCCAGGGTTGCTGACATTTTCAGGGTAGCTGACTTTTTCAGGGTAGCTGACTTTTTCAGGGTAGCTGACTTTTTCAGGGTAGCTGCCCGTGACCTTCACTGCCTCGCCGCCCGCCTCCTTCACTGCCTCGCCGCCCGCCTCCTTCACTGCCTCGCCGCCCGCCTCCTTCACTGCCTCGCCGCCCGCCTCCTTCACTGCCTCGCCGCCCGCCTCCTTCACTGCCTCGCCGCCCGCCTCCTTCACCGCCTCGCCGCCCGCCTCCTTCACCGCCTCGCCGCCCGCCTCCTTCACCGCCTCGCCGCCCGCCTCCTTCACTGCCTCGCCGCCCGCCTCCTTCACTGCCTCGCCGCCCGCCTCCTTCACTGCCTCGCCGCCCGCCTCCTTCACTGCCTCGCTGCCCGCCTCCTTCACTGCCTCGCCGCCCGCCTCCTTCACTGCCTCGCCGCCCGCCTCCTTCACTGCCTCGCCGCCCGCCTCCTTCACTGCCTCGCCGCCCGCCTCCTTCACTGCCTCGCCGCCCGCATCCTTCACTGCCTCGCCGCCCGCATCCTTCACTGCCTCCCCGCCCGCCTCCTTCACTGCCTCGCCGCCCGCCTCCTTCACTGCCTCGCCGCCCGCCTCCTTCACTGCCTCGCCGCCCGTCTCCTTCACTGCCTCGCCGCCCGCCTCCTTCACTGCCTCGCCGCCCGTCTCCTTCACTGCCTCGCCGCCCGCCTCCTTCACTGCCTCGCCGCCCGTCTCCTTCACTGCCTCCCCGCCCGCCTCCTTCACTGCCTCGCCGCTCGCCTCCTTCACTGCCTCGCCGCCCGTCTCCTTCACTGCCTCGCCGCCCGCCTCCTTCACCGCCTCGCCGCCCTCCTCCTTCACCGCCTCGCCGCCCGCCTCCTTCACCGCCTCGCCGCCCGCCTCCTTCACTGCCTCGCCGCCCGCCTCCTTCACTGCCTCGCCGCCCGCCTCCTTCACTGCCTCGCTGCCCGCCTCCTTCACTGCCTCGCCGCCCGCCTCCTTCACTGCCTCGCCGCCCGCCTCCTTCACTGCCTCGCCGCCCGCCTCCTTCACTGCCTCGCCGCCCGCCTCCTTCACTGCCTCGCCGCCCGCCTCCTTCACTGCCTCGCCGCCCGCATCCTTCACTGCCTCCCCGCCCGCCTCCTTCACTGCCTCGCCGCCCGCCTCCTTCACTGCCTCGCCGCCCGCCTCCTTCACTGCCTCGCCGCCCGTCTCCTTCACTGCCTCGCCGCCCGCCTCCTTCACTGCCTCGCCGCCAGTCTCCTTCACTGCCTCGCCGCCCGCCTCCTTCACTGCCTCGCCGCCCGTCTCCTTCACTGCCTCCCCGCCCGCCTCCTTCACTGCCTCGCCGCTCGCCTCCTTCACTGCCTCGCCGCCCGTCTCCTTCACTGCCTCGCCGCCCGCCTCCTTCACTGCCTCGCCGCCCGCCTCCTTCACTGCCTCGCCGCCCGCCTCCTTCACTGCCTCGCCGCCCGCCTCCTTCACTGCCTCGCCGCCCGCCTCCTTCACTGCCTCGCCGCCCGCCTCCTTCGCTGCCTCGCCGCTCGCCTCCTTCACTGCCTCGCCGCCCGCCTCCTTCACTGCCTCCCCGCCCGCCTCCTTCACTGCGTCGCCGCCCGCCTCCTTCACTGCGTCGCCGCCCACCTCTTTCACTGCGTCGCCGCCTGCTCCCTTCACTGTCTCGCTGTCCGCGTCGGTCAGGACATTGCTGGCCGCGTCGGCTGCCTGGTTGTTGCTGTCAGGCAGGACATTGCTGGCCGCGTCTGCTGCCTGCTTGTTGCTGTCAGTCAGGACATTGCTGGCCGCGTCTGCTGCCTGCTTGTTGCTGTCAGGCAGGACATTGCTGGCCGCGTCTGCTGCCTGCTTGTTGCTGACAGGCAGGACATTGCTGGCCGCGTCTGCTGCCTGCTTGTTGCTGTCAGGCAGGACATTGCTAGCCGCGTCTGCTGCCTGCTTGTTGCTGTCACGGAGGACATTGCTGGCCGCGTCTGCTGCCTGCTTGTTGCTGTCAGGCAGGACATTGCTGGCCGCGTCTGCTGCCTGCTTGTAGCTGTCAGGCAGGACATTGCTGGCCGCGTCTGCTGCCTGCTTGTTGCTGTCAGGCAGGACATTGCTGGCCGCGTCTGCTGCCTGCTTGTTGCTGTCAGGCAGGACATTGCTGGCCGCGTCTGCTGCCTGCTTGTTGCTGTCAGGCAGGACATTGCTGGCCGCGTCTGCTGCCTGCTTGTTGCTGTCAGGCAGGACATTGCTGGCCGCGTCTGCTGCCTGCTTGTTGCTGTCAGGCAGGACATTGCTGGCCGCGTCTGCTGCCTGCTTGTTGCTGTCAGGCAGGACATTGCTGGCCGCGTCTGCTGCCTGCTTGTTGCTGTCAGGCAGGACATTGCTGGCCGCGTCTGCTGCCTGCTTGTTGCTGTCAAGCAGGACATTGATGCCCGGGTTTGGTTCGTTGCTGCTCGTGTCGATAAATGCTGCCTCGCTGACCATGCTCGTGTCGATTGATGAATCGCTGCCCATGACTGGGTGACTAACTGCGAGGGGTTACAGGAGAGGACAAACGAAAGGAGGGTTGGCTTGTTTGCAAATTTAAGAGAGTGTGTGAGCAGTGGGCCTCTACTAGGTGTGAACTGACTACCACGGGCTGAAAGCATCAAAGGTGTGTACTCGCCGCACAGAGGGCTCAGGGCGTCTTGTCAAAGACGCCTAGCACGTGGGGACACGGAGGGTGCAACGCGCGTTGGCGAAGCATGTAAGGAAAAGAGCCTCTTCTCTTCTGAACAGGAGGCGCAAGAGGCGTATTGAATTGACAACGACACGCGTGGGACGAGATGAGCAGGAGGCGCAGGGCGAGGCGTACCGGTGAAGAGCGCGATGAGGAAGACGCGAATCACCACCGTCGCACTCCCCGTCTTCCGCATCCTCGCTGGCGTCCCCATCAGCCGCGCAGCAGGCCGGTACGATCACGGAAAGCGAGAGGAGAGATGTGACCGGTTTGGAACGGTTGAGGTTGAAACAAGGACGTGAAGGCCGGTGGTGTGAGGAGCTACTACAACCGCGGCGGCGGCGGTGGGAGTGCAAAAGGAGAGGAGCTTCGCTTGGAAGCTTCGCTTGTGGGTAAGCCGTTGCGATGGACTACGCTGCTCACCGCTGCTGCTCTCGTCTCCTTTTCTACCTGCTCGCCTCACCTATCACTCGCATCGCGTCACACCCTCCGAACCTCCCGTTTCCCATCGGGAATCTCCGAGCCTGAGCCTCGGTGACCACCGCGGTCAAGCAGCGCGAGGAACGCTGCGACGAGGCTGGGCGAATGGTAGAAACGATGAGGGGAAAGCTTTCTCTCCTACGCGCAAGCGCCGCTAGTCCCGCGCAGTGGCGAAGGTAGTCTAGTAGCGCGCTAGTAACGACGCGTTCCAGTGCGACCGGGAAGGTCGCCATTGGCGCGCGATGCTCGTTCTCACTCGCTACTCGCCGTGAGATGAGGGTTTGAGTATCGCAAGGAACGCGGTCACGATTTGGTCAAAGGAAAGGAATAATGGAATGGAAGGTTTGGCGACCTATTATTGGTTGGCCAGTATCTTTCAGGTTGATCGCATGCGACGATTGTGACGATGAACGAGATTGGCCAACCAATAGCCACCAAGCCTTCCATCCCAAGGAGAGGAATTTAGTATTGGGATGGAAGGCTTGGTGGCTATTGGTTGGCCAATCTCGTTCAGTGCAATAATGACTACAGATTCATATTGGCGCGGAATGGTTGGAAGCGGTGAAGTGTAAAACCGCGGCTGACCGTATTACACCGCGTCAACGAACAGTTCACGAAGATGTTTCACCCAACAGGAAATAAAGGTTCGTTATAACTCAGAAGGGTTCATTTGAAAGCTTTTTTTTAGACACAGAAGGGTGCGTTAAAAGAAGTTAGGAAGTGTAGGTCTGGGTGTTGAATCAGAACCACCACTACTCCAGTTATACCCAGTGCTCTGGATTCAAGCTTATTTGTTCTCATGGTCTAATTTTCAGACAAACATTTTTTTGTGATCACCTGATTTCTAAGACAGATTTTTACTTCATCTGATTACTTCGACAATGGATTCATGTTCATCTGATTTTCCAGACCAAGCTCTACACCTCAACTAATAATAAAATGAGTTTTTTGGGGTGAAGGTGCGCTTCTTATTGAGTAAAATGCATAGGCGTATGAGCTTTGTCAGAATAACTGTGCAGGAATGATTGGATTAGTAAGAGTTGGGGTACAAATACTAACCCTAGAAGTGCTGAACCCCATAAGGAGTGCCCCACTATAGCCTACAAGTGAGATTATACCTTGACACACCCCCATAGGCTAAGTGGGGGACAAGACGGTCACAAGACTAGTCAAGCAAGACAACAGAGAAAAACAAAGCAAAGCTCAGGGTGGATATCAAGGACACCACACAATCCGAGCACAAGCAAGCGGACACAAGTCGAGATCACATCCAGAGTTATAAGAGCAAGGCAGTACACTGTTCACAACCTATCAAGAGTAAACATGCAGGTACAAATATAGATATCAAGGTACAAAAAGTGCCAAATCAAGAGACAAGCAGGTGAGGTAGAACAGGCAGAAGCCCAAGAGCAGTGCAAAAACGATGAAGATCACCAGACCCAAGGGCCTTGGTCAAGACATCAGCAGTGTTGGCCCGAGAGGCCACGTAAGAAAGGCGCAGCTGACCACGCTGCTGCAGCTTCCGAGCAAGAAAGTAACAAAGAGCAATGTGCTTCGTTCTGTGTTCCAGTCTCTGCTCCTGACACAAGGCAATCATGGCCTTGTTGTCAACGTACAGAACTGGAGGAGAACGAGGCCGCTCCCCCAAGTCGGTCAGTAGGTAGGTCAGCCAGCGTAGCTCCTGTGCAGCCATGGCCCCAGCGTAGATCTCGGCCTCACAGCTGGAACCAAGCACAGAGAAGAACGAGTGGACCTCCACGAGACAGAATCAGAGCCAAGACTGAATGTGTAACCCTGTGACGAACGCTGAGTCGCCTGGTCGTCGGCCCAAGAAGCGTCGGAGTGTCCTGTGAGTACCACTAGACCCCGTCCTCCAAGCACGAGCCCCATGCCCGATGTACTGCACAAGTAATGCAGTACCCTCTTCGCAGCATCAAAGTGCACCTTTCGGTGTCTACCGGGAGTCACGTAGCGAGCTAGGAGGCTGAGAGGGTACGCGAGGTCATGTCGTGTGCTCGTCATCAGATACATTGAGCAACCCTCAAGCTCTGGGTACAGACCACTCGGCTCTACGGACTCGTTCGAAGGTGGAGCTGAGAGCGAGTGGCCGGTAGACAGAAGAGTGGGCCGTGGTGAGGAGTACTGGAAGCCGAAGTGCCGAAAGACCTGGTGCATCATCTGTGACTGAGTCAAGGTGATGGTGCACCGTGCTCTGTCCCGGGTGATCTGCAAGCCAAGATAGCTACGCAGCTCACCCTGGTCAGTGCAGGTGTGTCTCTCCTGCAGCTCCGCCTTCACTAGGGCCAGCGCCTCAGTGTCAGCAGTAGCAAAAACCAAGTCGCCAACGTACACGAGAACGTAGAACGGTGGTAGAGAAGTGTCGGTGTGTAGAAACAGCGACGGGTCAGCAGAGGAAGGTGCAAACCCAAGAGCCGCAAGTGTCGTCCTCAGTGTGTCGTGCCACTCGCGAGGTACCTGGCGGAGACCATAGACTGGCCGCCGGAGGCTCCACTGGGTACCAGGAGGAAACGACCCAGTGAAGCCAGGTGGGCGGCGCAGCCAGATCTCCTCGTGAAGGCTGCCCTGCAAGAAAGGTGTGGAGAAGTCGAGGGAGTGCAAATCGTAGTCACGCTGTGCTGCACCGTGCAGCAACACCCGAAGAGTAGTCATCTTCGGGGTGGGGGAGAAGGTCTGGAAGAAGTCGACCCCCTGTCGCTGACTGAGGCCTTGAGCAACGTAACGCACCTTGAAGGCACTCGGAGAACCCGGCCGCCGTTTCACTCCAAAAATCCACATGCCATCGACTATGTTCGCCCCAGGAGGAGGAACATCGTCGACGTAGGTGCCTATGGACTTCCAGGATGCCATCTCTGCTTCCATGGCTGTCTGCCACTGAGAGGAGTACTCACCCGCGATCGCCTCAGCGTAAGAGCGCGGGGTAGGGATGTCAAGTGCATCCGGGTCTCCATCAGGGCAAAGCGACATGGATGCGAAACGAGGTAAAGCGGCCGCAAGACACTCAAGCTCAAACTTCCTGTCCTCAAGGACATCACTGCTAAGGGTAGGCTCACCCCCGACGGACGGAGGACAGATAGACGCAGACTCAGTAACAAGACTCGCGACATAGTCGAGACGACTCCTAGCTGCAAAGTTGACTAGCTTAGTGACTAGGGCAAACGCTGCAGTAGACTCAAAGTCAGGGTCACTGACGATAGTAGCGAGGAGACGAGTGACAGTAGGACTGACAGCACGAGCAAGGTCGGACTCAGGGTCAGAAACGTGCGGAAGAGAGGACACGGGAGGCTCAGGCAGGACAACACGCTGTGGAACAGAGGAAGGACGAAGTGCCATACCGTGAGTGCCTGGGACAGCAGGAGGACGAGGATGGGCGACACGTCGAGCACGAACATGTGTGGAAGCACGAGTCTCAGGCTCACGACGCTCAGTCAGGGACTCAGTCACCTCAGTGTGAGGAGTAGGAGAAGGCATTGGGGAGCCAGGCAGTAGCTGTGGCTGATACTGGTCTGTCTGTGGACACAAGAGAGGTGGAGTGAGGCCAGTGGAAGACGGGAGACTAAGAACCTGGTGAAGGACCGAGTCAGGAGGCGGCAGGGACGACTGCGGCTGCAGGTAGCGGGGTAGTACCAGTAGCTCCAGCTCCTCCAGCACCAGCAGCACCAGCACCTCCAGCACCAGCACCTCCAGTCGCACCTCCAGCACCTCCAGCACCTCCAGCACCAGCAGCACCACTTGCTCCTGCAGCTCCAGCACCTCTAGTACAAGCACCTCCATGACCAGCAGCTCCAGTACCTCCAGTACCTCCAGCTCCAGCGCCTCCAGTACCTCCAGTACCTCTAGCTCCAGCGCCTCCAGCACCAGCAGCACCGCCTGCTCTGGCAGCTCCAGCACCTCTAGTACGAGCACCTCCAGGACCTCCAGCTCCAGCGCCCCCAGCACCAGCAGCACCAGCACCTCCAGTGCCAGCAGCTCCAGCAGCAGCTCCAGCACCTCCAGCACCAGCAGGACCACTTGCTCCGGCATCTCCAGCACCTCTAGTACGAGCACCTCCACGACCAGCAGCTCCAGCACCTCCAGTACCTCCAGCTCCAGCGCCTCCAGCACCAGTAGCACCTCCAGGACTAGTAGCTCTGGCACCTCCAGCACCAGCAGCACCTCCAGTACCTCCAGGACTAGCAGCTCCAGTACCTCCAGTACCAGCAGCACCTCCAGCACCTCCAGCAATACCTCCAGCACCTCCAGGACTGGCAGCTCCAGCAGGACCGTACCCTCCACCACCAAGACTGCCTCACCGAAC